CTAGCATCATCTACTTGTGGAAGAATCCCACGAAGAGCGCCTCTCTTCGCAAAGATCAGGTTAGCATGACTGTTGTGCGTGGTGCCTGGCTTTCAGCCACGGCGGTATGAATATGAAGAGCTGGGTTGAAAAACCCACAAAATTCGTATTTGTCTATTTCCAGCATGACTCCAAATCTGGATCAGCTCACTGTACATGTAAACACCATCTTGCAGCTGTGGCATTTGTAGTCTTGTCACCTTTCTTCTTCTTCTTCAACATGTCCTTTTGCCCGTTACAATCTGTCTCTCCCATTAGATCAGTCGACTGCTGGCCGACTTCCAAGCGCTGCGCAAGCATTGTCTGGGCCTGCTCAGCAGGCTTCGCCAGGTGTTCTCGTCGGCTCGGCCCGGCTCTTTGCAGCAACTGCGGCATGTGTTGAGGTTGGTTCCTTATTATAATAAGTACTAATACTTAGAGAAGTCCTCGGCTGAATGGCAGTGTTGTGTCATGTACTGATATAAGGAAGTCCTTTATTTTACAGACAGATGAGTGTAGATATAGTGAAGAGTCAGGGAGGCCTTGCCCAGCAGAGCATGGTATCGTGCGTAGCACGGGGGTAGTGAGAGGTCACGTACCGTCTATACATGGCGACAGGCAGAGGAAGGACTATGCCGTGAATGGGTGAAAGGATAACATGATACAGGATAGGACATCTCCCCCTTTTTGAAAAAAAATTGAAGAGAGAAAAAAACACAACAGCTGGGAAAAAAACTGTTATGGAGCAAAGGCAAGACAGATACATGTACGGGTTGTACATAGCCGGGCACATAGAACAGAACTATGCAATGTGCGGGAGAGCAATAGCAATAGCATGAAGCCAGAGAGAGTTATATGGTAGCGATCAATCTCTGCGGTGGCTGGATGTTGTTGCGAGCACGGAGAGTTGGCTGTGACGTAGGCACAGGCTGTTGTTGCGGGACTAGCGCGGCCGGTGGTACTGCTGGCACCGGTCCGGGAGGAGTCACTGGCTGGAGCAACTTCACTGCACGACGGTTTCGGCGCAGAAGACCGGATGAGGTGGCGATGTTGTAGGAGCGATCGGTGAGTTGCTCAACCACTGTACCCTCGCGCTTGTCGTCGACCCACACTTTCGCTCCCAGTGGCAGAGGGGAGAGCGACTTTGCTGCGAAGCGTTGATCGAAGTGATCTTCTTGCCGATGCTTAGCCTCCTGCTCCTTGGCCCGGAGAGCAGTGATGTCTGGCCAGGAGGGTTGCAGGAGATCAGGTGGGCACGGAAGATTGGTGCGGAGCCTGCGGCCGTACAATAGTTCGGCGGGCGAATAGCCATTGGCCAGGGGTGTGGAGCGATACGCTAGGAGGGACTGCTGTAGATCACCTGGCGCACGGATGAGTCGTTTGGCAGTCTGCACGGCGCGTTCTGCTTCGCCGTTGCTTTGAGGATGCTTCGGGCTGCTGGTCCGATGCGTGATGTTGCACGACGACATAAACTGTGCAAAGGCGTCGGAAGCGAACTGTGGCCCGTTATCGCTGACGAAGATGTCCGGATAACCGTGGGCAGCAAATATGCTCTTCAGATGAGTAATGACGGCCCGTGACGTAGTCGATGAGAGACAAGCGACATCAATGTAACGGGAGAAATAGTCGACAGTAATCAGGTACTGGCGGCCGTCGACATCACAGAGATCCGATGCGATACGCTGCCACGGACGCTCGGGGAACGGAGTTGTCTGAAGAGGCTCTGGAGACTGATGACGCTGCTTGATACAGGTAGTGCACTTGGCGACGTACGCCTCGATGTCGGCAGAGATACCTGGCCACCATGACGAGAAGCGGGCACGGGCTTTACTCTTCGTGACACCTTGGTGACCATCGTGCAGCTTCTGGAGGATCTCAGGCTGTAGCACGGACGGAACAACCAGGCGAAAGCCGTGGCACAATACACCTTGCATGTGAGACAACTGGCCTCGCTCACGATGGAACGGCTTGATGTCGTCAGGGACGGTAGCAGGCCAGCCATGGATGACGTAGCGCATCACACTGGATAACACGGGATCTTCAGACGTAGCCTTGGCTAGGTCGGCGAGAACGGATGGACTTGTGAGATCTTCGGCAGTGGTTGATAAAACCATGCCGATGTCGTCTTGCAGAACGTTGTCAACTGATGCCGATGCTGGCGCTCGTGAAAGCGTGTCAGCCACCACCAGATCCTTGCCGGGAACGTGTATGGCTTGGACTTCGTACCGGAGGAAGCGGAGCAGCATTCGTTGGCATCGGATGGGAACCTTGTCCAGGTCTCTGGTGTTGATCAGTGGCACTAGCGGCTTGTGGTCCGTCTGCACGATGAACCTGGGAGCGCCGAAGAGGTACTGGTCTAACCTCTCGCACGTCCACACCGCTGCGAGGCATTCCTTTTCGATCTGCGCGTAGCCTTGTTCCGTCTTGGTCAGGGAACGGGAGGCGTAGGCTACTGGGCGCCAGTCGCCATCGTGCTTCTGGAGCAGAACACCACCAATGCCATAGCTGCTGGCATCGGCACTGACCATGATGGGACGCTTGGGGTCATAGTGCACTAAGCACGGGGCTGAAACGACGAGCTCTTTCAGCCGACGGAACGCGTCCTGCTGCGGGGAGTCCCAGAACCAATCAGTGTCGGTGTGCAGGAGCTGACGGAGGGGCGCTGAGATCGTAGCCAATTCCGGGATGAATCTGGCGACGTAGGTGAAGAGACCTAAGGCACGGCGAAGCTCAGGAACATTCGTAGGCTCCTTGAGGTCGTCAATGGCGGAGACTTTGCTGGGGTCGGGCTTCACACCGGACCCGCTGACGATGTGTCCCAGGTACTTGACTGATGACTGCTTGAGGTGGCATTTGTCGGGGTTCAGAGTGATGCCTGCGTCGGCAAGGACCTGGCGCGTTGTGTCCAGCCGGTGGTCGTGTTCAGCTTCGTTAGCGGCGTGGACCAGAACGTCGTCCATGAATACCTCGGAACCTTTGACGTGGGAGAGGAAGTCCTGCAGGCGTCGCTGGAAGATTTCCGGTGCAGAGGTTATACCGAATGGCATCCGGAGGAATCGGAACCGACCCACAGGCGTGATGAACGTGGTCAGCTTGGATGCAGACTCCGTGAGAGGCACTTGCCAGAAGCCGCTGTTGGCATCCAGCGTGGAAAAGACAGTAGATCCGGCGAGCCTAGCCAGTGTGTCCTCAACTGTCGGAAGAGGGAAGTGCTCGCGCTTCACGTTGCCGTTCAGCTTCTTTAGGTCTACGCAGATCCGTACGCGACCATTTGGTTTACGAACCGGCACCATAGGAGAGCACCAGTCAGAGGGACCCGTTTCCCGGACGATGATGCCCATTTCCTCCATACGTGCGAGCTCTTCTGTGACCTTGTCCTGTAGAGGCAGAGGCACACGGCGGGCAACACCACAGTGGTACGGCGTGGCGTCGTCCACGAGCTTGATATCAGCTGGGGGCCCAACCATACAACCGATGGGCTGTGCTGGCTTGCTGGTACACGATTCTGCTGCATCTAAACGCTGGATCAGGCGAAGTCGGAGGCAGTCTCTGCGACTCAACAGGTTGGTAGATCCAGGACCATCGATAACTACGATCTCCATAGAGAACAGTTCACTCTTGTGCATGGTGTCTGCAGTGAACTGACCCTTGATGGATAGAGGTGCACCAGATGGACCAAGGAGTTTGGTAGTGGATGGTGTGAGTACAGGGCGTTGTACGAGATTCTGATACGTGGAGTGCGTGATACATGATACATCTGCACCTGTGTCGATCTTGAATATCAAATTTGTCGAGCAAACAGGCAGACTTACTGACCAGGCGTCGGTGGACTGGGAAGGACTGGCGTTGGATGACAGCTCTGCAACACCACCCATGAATGGCGACGGGGACGCGAGCAATTCATCTTCGACAGCTCTGGCACCACGCGTGGTTGCTGGAGTGTAAAGACAGACGGCGGCGAAGTGGCCCTGCTTGCCGCATGAATTACACTTGCGACCAAACGCAGGACACGCAGAACGGTTACTCTTGTGCGAACCAGCGTGGCCACACCACGGACATGTTGAAGCTGCAGTGCCGCTCTTCCTCTGCGTGGACGGCGTTGGTGCAGGCTTCGACGGAACGCCGCTGCGCTGGCGGCGACTCCTTGCATCTTGCTGCTTTCCTCCAAAGCGGGATGCAGCATTGACCTGCGGCCTGGCGGCTTGCGCTGCAACGTCTCCGGAAATTTTCTCGGCCTGCCTGGCCCTGAGAACTGCGTCCGTGAGGGTGAGTTTTGCGGGCTCAATCAGCTGCAGCTCCTTGGCGACTTGACGATCCAGAATGTGAGCCACGAGGCGATCTCGAATTCTGTTGTCCTTCTGGTCACCAAAGTCACAGAACTTCGCTGCTGCGTGAAGTTTCCGAACAAATTCTTCCACGGACTCTCCTGGAAGATGGACACACTGTTCGAAAATGGTCCTCTGGTGAAACACGTTCAATGCTGGCGTAAAGTAAGCATCCAGCTTCGTCATGACCTTGTCATACTTGTCCTCGTCTCCAACGGTGTCGAATACCAGTTGATCGAAGACAGTTTCGGCCTCTGGGCCCAGCGAGTAGAGCAACGTAGAGATTTGCACTTTCTCGTCTTTCGCGTTGAGCTCTGAGGCGAGGCGATATCTCGCAAACCGGCGTTTCCAAGCCGGCCAGGCATCTGGAATGGAGAAATCAAAGTCTGCAGGCGGCGCGAACTTGGCCATTTCTACTCGAAGTGTAGACCTGGTTGACTAACTTCTGACACCATGTTGTGTCATGTACTGACATAAGGAAGTCCTTTATTTTACAGACAGATGAGTGTAGATATAGTGAAGAGTCAGGGAGGCCTTGCCCAGCAGAGCATGGTATCGTGCGTAGCACGGGGGTAGTGAGAGGTCACGTACCGTCTATACATGGCGACAGGCAGAGGAAGGACTATGCCGTGAATGGGTGAAAGGATAACATGATAC